TAGACATGGTTCTAATAATACTCATGGAGCTGGTGGAACAATTTGACTTTTGAAATTCTGAAATATCTATCTGGGCATGAATTGCTAATGCTTGTTGCCATTTGACCCATACAGTGGTGTCACTTGAATGTAATTAAATTAATCAAACTTCAGTACTTTTGTGACCAATTTATGAAATGTCACACTTTTTATAGCAATTTTATCTTTCATATTCAACTGGACTTCTGTATGATGGTAGAGTTGAGAGTAAAGAGCATTTCTTTTCATATGTATATGCAGTTAATCCAGCATCATCTACTACAACTCTGCACTGTATTCATAAATCAAGTTATTTCATATGGCTGACTGTTTCTGAACTCTATGTTCTAATGTTTCTTCCCCCTTATTAATGTTAAGAGTGACTCACCCCCACTCACTGGAATACATACCTAACAAATAGTTGTATCAAGAGTGTTCAATAGCAATATTATCCATGTCAAAAAAGTAAATAATGTCTATCAACTGATGAATAAACAAATTGTAATAAATCAACACAATGGGATAAGTAGTCATAAAAAGGAATTAAGTACTAATATAGACAACATTCATGAACCACGAAAACACTGTGATAGGTGAAAAGCCCAGACACAAAAGCTAAGTATGATTCCAATTATGCAAAATGTTCAGGAAAGACAAATCCAGAGAGAAAAGAGAAAGTAGACTTGGGTTATCAGGGGTTATAATATTTACAGAAAAAGGGAAGTTTGCTACTATTTTTTATGGGATTTCTTTTGATAATACTCCAGAGTTAAGACAGTGGTGATGGCTGCACAACTCTGTTATATACTAAAACAGTGAAATGTATACTTTAAATGGATCAATTTTATGGTATGTGAGTTATCAATGTCAAAAGATAACAAAGGTTTAAGATTATTGCGGGGAAGAAACATGGTGGAAACTTGATAATATAATGCATAATCACTTATACATTCAGATATACAGCATGCGTATATGTGAACACACAGACTGCTGAAGTCTTTAAAACTTCTGAGGAACAGATTTTTTAAAGACACTCAAGGAACATTTTTAAAAATGTGCAACACAGTGAAAAAACAGAAATTCAAATTTTCCCCTCCCACACCAATTTCACTATTTAGAAACAATCACTTTTTAAAAAAGTGGTTCTATTTTTTGAGTAGGCAATGCAAAGGCTGTTTATTTCAGTTTGATTCTTCTCATCTTTCTAGAGCTTCTATGTCTATACTAGCATATTAAATATGTATTCTTTGGCTCTCCCTTCTTACCCAAAAGTTAACATTATGTAAACTGTCCTGCGATGCCTTTTTTCTCTTAATATATCTTGGAGAAATTTCCCAATCAACATGCAGAGAGCCTGTTCATTCCTTTTGCTGACAGGTACTCTTTTATGACCTGTGCAGAGTATTTTACTGTGCGCCCTACATTTCAATAGGTCTTATGCTGTGACAGATTAAGAATTTAGAACTCACTACTATTACAATTTTTCCTTCCTTCCCAGTATTACTCTTAATTCTTCAAATGGTTGCCTTAACTTTAAATATATTTTTACTCTTTAACTTAATGATTTTTTTATATTTCTTTTCCTACACTGTTGTTAATTTTTAGACAGTATTTGATTTCTCCCCTCAGATGTAGTCCTTGCAGTTCTCCTATTACCACAGCACTGGAGATCCTTCACCACAGTCCCTTGTGCACTTTCTTCCATTTTGACCATTCTCCCTCTCTCTCCCTTTCTGTATGTTTTAGATCTATGGTCAGTTTTCAATTTTTGTGATTTTTCCTGACTATCTGTTTTCTCAAAATTTGGCATTTTAAGTTAAACCACCCACTATTTACTTTTTTTCCTTCTGACTTATTTTCCTCAACAATCCCTTCCAGCTCCATCCATGTTGGCACAAATGGCATGAGTGTATTTTTTTGATCAATGATGAGTATTCCATTTTGTATATATACACATCTTTTTGATCTATTAATCTGTTTTGGGGCATTTAGATTGTTTTCTTATCTATTAGCTATTAGCTATTGTAAATAATGCTTCAATAAACATAGGAGTGCATTGAGTATCTTAGTGTCCATTGGGAAGCATACCAGTAGCAGAATTGCTGGGCCTTATGGTAGATCATTAGTGTTCTGAGGCACCTTTACACACAACATTGCATAGTGGCTAAACCAGTATATATTCATTCCCACCAGCAGTGTAAGAGGGTTACCTTTTCATGACAACCTCACTAGCGTTTGTTGTTTCTGGCATTTTTGACATGAGCCACCCTCACAGGTGTGAGGTGGTATCTCACTGTGCTTTTGATTTACATTTCCCTGATAAGTTAAACTGAGAAAGGAGGAATACTACCATATATTTTACAAGGCCAACATTATATTAATACCAAAACCCAACAAAGACAACCATAAAAAGAAAACTATAGACCAATTTCCTTAATGGACATGGATACAAAAATCTTCAATAAAATCTTAGCTAACAGAATCCAACAATGCACCAAAAGGATTATACACCATGACCAAGTTTTACTCAAGTTAAGGGTCAACATCCCAAAATCAACTAATATAATTCACCACATTAAAATAAGACAAAAACTGTATGATCATATCAATACTTGCTGAGAAAGCAGTTGATAAAGTGCCAAATTCATATATGATAAAAGCATATAACTATGGATGACATATAACAACATGGATGAATTTCAAATGAATGAATTATGCTAAATTTATAAAACTCAGACTCAAAAGGTCGTATGTTGTAATTCTTACTCCCCTTATATGATATACTCACAAAGTCAAAACTACAAGAACATAAAAAGATAAATGGCTGCCAGGGTAATGTGGATGGATCTACTATAGAAACATATGAATATTCTTTTTTTTTTTTTTAAGATTTATTTATGCATACAGGACTGGGGCACAGGCCAGAGGTGCAGGGACGATGAGAAGATTCACCACACACAGAGCAGGGAGCAGAACAGGCATATCGACGAAGTACACTGCTGAGGGGAGCGGTGGGCAGGTCAGGAGAGGTCTGCCACGCCATGTGGTCACCTCCGGGGGCATGTGGAAGGGGCTTTAGCTTTTTACTGCTGTGCTTTAACCCACTGCACCACCAGGGAGGGCCCATATGAATATTCTTAATAAAGATTCTGAATTTTGGAAATTATACCAGATTATCCACACTGGGTGGGCCCAATCTAATCACATGAATACTTAAAAAGTGAAAATTAGTTAATGAGCTAGTGGTCAGAGGGAGATATGACTTGTACAATACCGCTGGTTTTGAATATGCAGGTAGCCTCAAAGTTAAAAAAATGCAAGGAAGAGGATCCACACCTAGAACCTCCAGAAAGGAGTGAAGTCTTGCACACCTTAATTTTAGTCCAATAAGAACAATCAGACTTATGACCTTTAGAGCTAGAAGACAGTGAATGTGTTTAAGTTAGCTAAATTTATAGTAATTTATTAAGATTTAAAAAATACTATTCAGATTTAGTGGCCTAAAAAACAACAGTGAAATAAAGTATCATCTTTCACTTATCTTCTTGCCTTCAGAGTACTACATCTTTCAAGCATGCATAAGACCAGAAATACCATCACTGAAGATTGATTTTAGCTTTCACTCTCAGTGAGAATTTAGGAAGTTTCATTTTTTACCCTATATGGTCCAAAGAAGAAAATGAAGCAAAAATATTTTATAATTAGACAAACTGAAAGTAAACGCAAAGACACAGCAGCATCTTTTAAGTCTCTAAAATTGATGATGGTGACATTAAGTAAAATCCTAGAGTGGGACATTTATATTACCTTAAATTTATAGTCTCCAATTCAAGAAACAGTGAACTGGGTGATATTTTTTAAGGGTGGGGGGAGAAAAAGGACACAAGGTATTTTCACTGTTTATCAACTGCAGGACTTCATCACAAAATATTGTGCAACAGAAAACCTGAGTAATCTCATTATGCTAAAAAGGCAGACAATAGTACCCTTTTTATGATGTCTATACAAGATTATACACTTGATACAATAAAGAGGTATACTGTGTTTAAATTCCTTATTGGAACTGATCCACTTGTCAGTCTTTAAAACCATAAATCATTATTGAAATTTCTAATGATGTTGCTTTCTATTATTCTTTATTCCTACTTACGTATTTTAGCGAGGGAGAAACAAAGGGTAAGAAATTCTATAATGGAGACAGTTCAAACTACCAAACTCTTTTTTTACCCTTCAAACATAGTAAACTGTATTACAACACAATGCTCCTGAAATATACTGTAACATTTGAAATGAAACTTATAGTTCATATAATGCAACCAAAACAAACCAACCAATCAAAAAATGGACAGAACTAAATAGACACTTTTCCAAAGATGACAGGCAGAAGGCCAAAAGGTGTATCAAAAAATGTTCACTATCACTTATCATCAAGGAAATGCAAATCAAAACCACAAGATACCACCTCACACCAATGAAAATGAGGTGGGAAAAAAAAAAACCAAAACCCCAGAAACACACGTGAAGTTAGCCAGAAGAAGAAAGGCAAATACCAGATATGTGAAACTATCTAGAAAGTAAAGGAACAAAGACAAACTTTAAAACTAACCCTTGAAAACTGACCTCAGATTTGAGGCTTCCAGGAGGGGAGGGAAAGGAATACACAGTAAGGGGGGAACATATGGCCTATGGTAAAGGACTATTGGTGTTTTGGTACTGGGAAAACTATGGTGGCCACACCTAAGGGGAGAAATCCTGTATCGAGAAAAAACAATCAAGTATGTAAAGTAAAGGTATGTCATTAAGAACTATGATAATTTTAAAATAAAGAAATTAGACTCACAAACAATATTTCCCCCATAAATTATAAAAAGTACTAAGAGTAAGCTGCTCCTGAACACTTATGTAGGGCTCTTTTATGAAATATATTTTAGATCATTGAATACATGGAAGTAATGTCAAGCAAAGATTGCAACTGTACTCACTTTTGCTCCAACACTGCAACTGCCAGTGCTCCCAGTGCTCCCACTTGCAACTCCTGTGAATCTAGCTTCCAACAATTCTTGCCTTCTTGGATCCAGACTATGAAGCTCATCCATTGCACCTATTACAAAAACAAACAAACAAACAAAAAAAAAAACAAAAACCACACACATATGGACATCTTTATGTACACTAAGACACAAGATATGTATCTATCTCTATACACTTATTTGAGATGTAGATATAAATTTAATGAATTCTAGAGATGAAAATACAGATTCTTATTTGGTGTGTCTGCATAGGACCTAAGATTTTCATTTCTTTTTTTCCTAAATGTAAACATTTTTTTTCCCCCTTAACACTGTTGTGGTACTCAGTTTACCCACAACCATTATCACCCATGAACTATTACCATATTCCCTTGAGTTCATTATTCCCCTGTTTTGCGACATCCCCCCCTCCCCAGCCTCCTTACATGTATGATGCCTTAGTCCTATGGTCAGCTTACTAGTTTTGACCTTTGTTTGGTTTCTCTCTATTCCATACATGAGACCATTCAGTATTTATCTTTTTCCTTTTGACTAATTTCAGGTAGCACAATCCCTTCTAGCTCTATCCATGTCAACACAAGTGGCAGGAGTTTGTCTTTTTTGATCCCTGAGTAATACGCCATTGTATAAATCTACCACAACTTTTGATCTAATTGTCTACTTGGGGGTATCTGGGTTGTTTCCATATCTTGGCTGTTTCATATAGTGCTGCATTAAATACAGGTATGCAGATATTCTTTGAATTCATGTTTTTGTGTCCTTTGGGTAGATTCCTAGGAGTGGAATCGCTAGTTCATATGGAAGATCCATTTTTAGTGTGCTGAGGAACCTTCACACAACTTTCCACAGTGATTAGACCAGTATACAGTCCCACTAACAGTATAAGAGGGCTCCTTTTCCTACATGTACTCGCCAGCATTTGTTGTTTCCAGCTTTTTTAAAATGTGGGCCATTCTTCCTGGTGTGAGATAGTGTCTCATTTTGGTTTTGATTTGCATTTCCCTTCTTACAAGTGATACTGAGCATTTTTCATGTCTGTTGACCGTTTCCATTTTTTATTTGAAGAAGTGTCCTTCTACCAATTTTTTGACTGAGTTATTTCTGTTGAGTTGTCTATCAGTGAACAAATGGAAAACAATGTGGTATGTGCACACACAACACAAAACACACTGGAATACTTCTCAGGCATGAAAAAGAATTAAAGTTTGCCATATGAAAAAACATGGTAGGCCTTCAAGATATTATGCTAAGTGAAACTAGTCAGATAAAGAGAGCCTAATATCAAATGATCCCATTTACATGTGAAACAAACTAAAATCACGAAAGGGGAAACAAATTGTTACTAACTAGAGAGGTAGAGAATTAGGGTGTGGGTGAAGGAGATCAAAAAGTATAAACTTCTAGTTACAAATAAACAGGTCAAGGAAATGTACAGCTTGGGAACTGTAATCCACAAGTGGAATTACAAAATCTGAAATTTTCTAAGAAAAAACAGTAGACTGATAATCATTTTGCAGTGTATACATACATACATATTTTACAATGTATATTTTGTACACATGAATGTTGGGTCAATCATATTTCAAGTTTTTAAAAAGAGAAAAAACCTTTCCATAAGCTTTTCAGTGATAAAATTAAAAATATATAAATAAGTATAATATTTTACATGTCTGTTAGTGAAAAGAATGGAATTCTTTGGAAGGATATTTCTAAGTATTTAGGTTTCCTATTATCAAAATCTATGACACATATTCATCTAACAGTGCTGATCTATAATGAAATTTTATGTATTTATCTTTGAAAATTATTTTTCAGATATTGTCTTATATCAACCCACAAGCATAGGATTTAATTGAGCATATTTATTACTTCAAAGGTACTTACAGAAGTTTATTAAATTAGTCCTATGGTATTTTTCTTTCACTATTCCAATACATTGCAGATTAATCACTTCTAACTAAAAGTTAGACAAAAGTTCCTCAAATGCATAATAAAATGGATCTTCAAATATATAAAATTTTTTACTTGCATAAACATCTGAAAAATATCAGAACTACAATGTCTCAAAATATGCTAAGTTTGAGGCTAGAAAACACATTTATGCAAATTCATATGGAAATGAAAATCTCACTCTACTAGCATGAGAAATGTAACGAGCTTGACATTATCTGTGGTTGAAACATTAGAATGGTTTTATCAGTTAAATTTTGTATATAAGTACCACTTGCCTTGTACTTTTAAGCAAAATTCATTTTAAAACATTATCAACTATACAGAAGCAGATACTGAAAGCCTGTGATTTTGATAATAGTGGTAAAAAGAAATGTCCTCTTCATTTAAAAAATGATCAGTCTTAGTTCAAAAATCCAAAAATATGCAGTTAATTTTTAGCACTGCTAACCCAGAGTATTCATCTTCTGTTTATAACAAAAATTCATCCTGTTTATACTATTTAAGTCCATGAGAACAAATGAAGTTTACCATGGAAAACAGATTCAATCATACATAATAAATTCACATATTTTCTGCAAAGTACCTACTAATGAATAATGTAAGGTATAACCATAAGCTTCAAATTCCTCCCATTTTTTACAAACTTTGTGAGCTATAAAACTAATCTGTCTCACACATTTTTATTATCAGTTGTAACATATCTTAGCAGATTCCACTTCAGATTGTACTTAGCGTTTTTTTTCTCAACTTTGAAAATATTCTTGCCTATAGCTGTTCTACACAAACTATTCATAGAGGCTAATTTTTCTGCCACTTCAAACTTGGCATTGACTCCTTGAATAAACAACAACTAAGTAGTATCAATAACATCTGTCAAGTCATCAAGAGCCAAGAAAAACCACTTTAAATCATTTGCCTTGTTTTTTTAATTGACTATTGATGTTACTTCAAATGTCCTCAACTCTTAAATCAACTAATTCTTGGCAAAAACTTAAAGGTCCTAAAAAAGTTTATTTTCTCTGGACACATTGACTGTTGCAATCAAACACAATTTAATTAACTTACCAGTAAACAGATTTCTTTGGTTAACAAATAAGCGAATGGGAAACTTATTTTGGTGGCTAGTCATCTTCACTTATTTTTATGAAGAAATTATGCTGTAATGATTACTCACCTTTAACTTTATAATTTTCCAGTTACTCTCAGAAAATTGGGTTTAGATTAATTACTATGGTATATATAATACATTGTATTGTAGATTTTCAGAAAAGTCATGAACTATTTTTCTATGTATTTTTCCAGCAAAAATGCACCATGACTTCTCTTACAATCCACTATTACCTATCACAGTTACATTACTGCACAAATAAGAACAGTATTTTACCATTCATTTCAGTAACAAAAGAATATACACACCACTGTGCCTCAAGAGCTGTTCAAGAGTCCATTTTTCTCTTCTTGTTTTGACATGACAGATATGCACTGGTATAAAAACAGTAGCTACTACAGACTGGCAATACAAACTGCACTCAAAGTTACAGTTATAGCACTAAAATTTGTTGTGTAGCAAAAGCAGTACAAAGCGATGAGAATGCCACATAGGATCTCTGTATGGGTACAAAGATTTGAATTTCACACATCTCGAAGTATTAGCCATCTTTTCTTTTTATTTACCATTCAAATATAGGGTAAGTTGATGACTAGAAAAAAGGTACATTTCAAAGATGTTAGTATTTTATGGAATATGATTATAATTTGATACTGATCAAGAAACTTGGTCCCCAACTCTAGAGTCAGATATCCTAAAGAATATGTAAAATTTTGCCACAGCCCATTAAATTATTATTACGCAGTAAATGTTCAAATTTAAAAAAAAAATCCATTATAAAGACCATACCATCCATAAATACCCCATCTCAAAATACAAACACCTTTCTTCCTAATTATACATTGCTATTACTAAACTGTTCCCCAAAATTTATTGTACATCCAAAGCTTCACATAAAATATATAACGAGATGTCATTACATTAAGTGAGAGATCACATATATACAATGGAAAACAATTTCACAAATGAGGTACCTAATTTGATAGTTTGTCATGTTCTCTCTCTTTTTTAAAAAAAGATTTATTTATTTATTCATACAGAACTGGGGTACCAGCCAGAAGTGAAGGGGTGGTGAAAGGATTCACTAGAGACAGAATGGGGAGCAGAACAGGCAGATCCTTGAAATATACTGCTGAGGGAAGCAGCAGACAGATCAGGAGAGGTCTGCTGCGCCATATAGGTTACCTCTGGGGCCAGGGATCTAATTCACACTGAAGAGGCTGCTGCTGGCTTGCAGTGCTGGGTCCTTATCTGCTGTGCCACCAGGGCGAGCCCCTGTCATGTCCTCTTCTAATAAGTATTTTCTCTTACTCTTTTCCCACTTTTATGTTATCTTAAAGATATGCTTTCCCAAAGTGGCTAATATAAAAAATAGATGCATGTGCTTAGACATTTCTGGTTCTGGTTAGTCAGTATTACTTTAGATATACCATCACTTGAATGACAGTAAATTTTTCAATTGTATTTTTTTTCTTAAGTCTCCACCTTTCTTGATAGTAGAAAGAAAATCAATGCATCTAGAAAGCATGTGCTCAAAAGGGTAATATCAGTAACTAAGAAGTCATGCAGTGAAGTCTGAAAATACTTTAATTCATTTAGATTTTAATTACAACTTCCCATATTACATCAGATAAGGTGATTTATATGGAACAGTTATGGTTTTTATTAACACTTTTTACATGTCTGATTAGCCAGAGAAACCTAACTAAAAACAGAAATACCATGCTAAAGTGAAAAATTAATTTAACAAGTTAAAATGTTTAATTACTCCTTTTCATTCCTTTTTTAACATATTAGAAAGTACAAAAGAATTTAAAACATTCAAGAAGTCTACATTATTCATTCTAGAATTGCTTTTGATTTCTGAGTAACTCATTTTAACATGGTTAAAAATTAGACCGTTATCTGGGCCTTCCCTGCTCGGTTAAAAGCACAGCACTATCAATCTACCGATGCCACTTCAGCATGAGTTCGATCCCTGGCCAGGGAAGTGACCCACATGGTGCAGCA